TGTTACTTTCTCAAAAGTACATAAAAGTGGTTGCCAGCAGGGGTGTACATGTAGATTTATTAAATACACCTTGTGCCCCACCTAGGAACCAAATCTATAACCCGACACTCGAAATTTTTGCTCTGTTACAATCGTACCCTGTTACAATTGACCCCACTCTCCCCTACAGATAATACTTTTGTGGCTGAAATTGGTTTCGGGATTGTTCACCATCTCCTTACTTTATTGAATGCAAATTCGTTTGAAAAAAGGTATATTTATTCAAAGAAAGTGCGTTTTGGGGGTCTGTTTCCGCAACTTAATTATTTATAATATTATTAATCACTAATTAGTTAGTATATTGGAGAATTCTCGTAGAACCATTAAAATTTACATTTAGTTTGTGAAAATATCCAATCTTTAGAGCAAAAATTATTTAGCGTGATATCTTTTTTTTTTATTTTGAGCACTGTACTCCTTTGCTATCATTACCTTAAATTCACAATCAGATAGTCATGAACATTTCTAAGTATTTATCAATTATTACTGTCAAGCAAAAGCGGTTAGTGTACAATACATGTATTTTGAAGCAGAGAAGGTTACAATTTGATTTTGTTATTTTCAACAAGCAATTCTTTGCCATTCAAGTGCAGTTTTGGCTTCCTCAGAACTGCCAGAAACTTATTACTCGACATTATAATTAAAACATTATAAAAGAGAGAACTGCTTATTATTATTTTGATTTATTAGTTGAATTTTAATCCCTAAGGAGCCTTCTAACCCTAGTATTCTCCGATTAGTCCATAAAAATTTTAAATGATAAGTTGCATCGGAATATCATAAATACACTAATTGTGTCATTTTGGCGCTGCTTATCTTAAACTTTTTATCGCTTGGTCAGAGAATACACCTGTTAAATGCTGTTTAAAATATAGTTTCATTTGAAACCATAAGTACATCTAGATTTTTTTTTTTTTTTTTGCAATCACAGCATTTTGAATATTTTGTGTTAACATGCATGTGCTGTGGTTCAATTTGTATCTAAGTTTACAGGCAGTTTTACATACAATAGTTTCTGTTTTAAAAAGAAGGTTTCTTCGCTGTCGAAACACAGAAAGAAAAAGAAAAACATAGAAATACCTAACAAAATTACAATAGGAAAAACACGAGTTGACCAATAGAATATAGGATCCTCTTTGCTCTTTCCATCTGTGTTTCAACACTGAAGTAGGCTCTTCACTATCGCACTAACTATAGTATATACATTTATAAGGCTTTTTGTGCTTTTTTCATATTATTTAGCTTTATTTAATTCCTAAGTGATTCAAAGTTAGCCCTTACTTTACATGTGTACTAAGTATCTATTGTCTTAATTCAATACTATACGGCCATTTTCAAAAGCAAGCTCACCAGATGGCGTCGCGACACCGTAGCCTTTGTTATCTAGCAAGCTTCCAATTTGAGTCAATTCGCACTCCCTTTCGACGATGTATTCTATGGAGGTGGACTCCATGAGGAAGGCGTAATTCTCCTTCTTCACTCGCTCTACGCCTTTGCTGTTGGATTCGACGAAGACGCTCGGGCGAGCACTCTGCATGAAAGCCCACATCCGCTTGAAAGTAGGGATCGTCGATTCCTGAAAACAAGAGCATGGTTTTGGTTGGGTGCCTGCCAATGTTGATTAGAATCCTGTCCATAGAGACCTTACCTTGAAAAAAAATTGTGTAGCACCAGAATCCACGCAGCCATATTGAATATGAGATTGTTTAGCTAGATCTTCTACCCCTTCGATTGGAGACACCAATCTTTCGACCGTCAAGAAAGCTGCGAGATTAGCCGTATAGGAAGAGACCATGATGAGTGTAAAGAACCACCAGATACAGGCCACAACTCTTGTTGATAAGGCCCTAAGGAAATAAAATATTATGCAATATACAGGGTGACCTACAAGACCTCAGACACCAGAAAAAAGTGCTTACTTACTTGGGTGTAAGTTCGCAACCTTGTTGCATGAGGCAGCCCACAGTAAACCAAAGCGTATTAAGCAGCGTGAACTGATTTTGGAGGACGTCAGGATTAGGATTGCATGGATGAGGATTCGTCCATTCATAAGGACTAAATCTAGCGATGATGAAAAGAAAGAGGCTCACTCCCAGAAAAGCTGTGGCCATGTACACCCAAACCTCTAGTGAGAGAGGAGAGAGAAAAGAGAACAGCTTGGGTACTTTTTTGGTTGGTTTTCTGAACAGGATGCTAATGCCGAGGTTCATAAATGGCATAGTGAAGTCAACAACTTGTTCCCTTTGGAAGGTGAGTGTCAAATCTCCAATGGCGATGTCGGCTCTCTGTGCAACACAAAAAGGAATTAATAGATGTTCAATCATATCCTCTCTAACATAATATAGAACCGACATACAAAGCAAATTTACGGATTCTGAAAGCTTTATTCCATTATCTACACTTGTTGTTAATTAACATTAAAGTTTGTGTCACATGATCTAATATGGAGCCGTTTAAGTATTTTGGGCAATTTGGGACCCCCCCCCCTTCACCCCAGTCAGTAAAAATAAGCAATTCACAAACTCCCTATCACGCTTATGTAAGCAAATTGCAACTCCCCACCCCCCGATATTTGCTTTAAACCCTTTGTATCACCGCGTTACATATCTGCAACATACATGAAAATTCAATCCTATAATGAGGTGGATTTATCTATAAAATCGAACTAAATTCAGGTAAAGAAAATATTGCAAACTCGGGGGAACCAAGTCTTGGTGCAGCTGCCAATATTATAATGCGTTTAGCAAGAATTGTTCCACGACATAATTGCAGGATATACAATTTTTTTACAACAATCCCTTTGATTGTATATTTGGCTAAGGAGGGACTGAAAAATGTGGTGTGAGACCTTATTACCATAAAAACAATAATTTCAAAATTTTTCACATGAAGTTTTAAATATATTGGAATTTTTGTGCTATTTTTCACGATATTGGAGATGTTCAACAAATGTTTTTTATCAATAAATTTTTAATTTTAAGATATTAATTTTTTCATTATTTTTTACACGCTTAATATGATGTATTCTAACATCCGCGTAAATATTTCTTAAATCAGAGTTGTTAAGTTACAAAGGGTTAACTTTGACTTTTACTGTAGTAATCTAGTTTTAGGATTAAATTTAAGTAAAAATATGTAAGTTTGCATTAAACAAATTTTATGTTTTAATTCATTTTATAAAATTTTGATCAGGATATTCTTTTAGAATCTTATGTGTTCGAAACCCTGGACTTCTGAAACTCTTCGAATTAATTTTTTTCTCATCTTTTCTTCCCCTGAATTCAACTTTTATTCCACTTTGGAAATTTTCTCACGTGTACATTTTTGTTATGTTTCTATTTTGTTTTTGAAGAAAATTTTAAAAATAAGGAGATTTTAATGTCTCAAGTAGGTATTACCCTTCCTTTCCCCTTGTCAGCAAAAATAAGCCAATTACAAACTACCGTTAGATGCTTTTGAAATATTTGAATGGCCCTTATTCTGTAAAAGTATAGTACTTCTACAACAGCTAGTTGTTGACTAAGGAGGTCATAGTGATTAAAGCTTAGCTATTTCAAGCCCGACAACATAATGGTAATGCGATTAGCATTACGCATCGGTTGTCTTTTCTTGACAAGCTGGTACCCACTGATCTGAAGCTGAGTGAGCTTCAAGCTACTACCGGGGGTGTAACCTCTGTTCCTAACAACAGCGGTTCAATGCCTTAACTTCTGTGTCATCGCGGATTATAGTCAGTTATATATTTTTAGGCGATTTATAAGATATTATAATTATTGCAGGATCTTATAATTAAATGCATAAATTAAAATTAAATATACGTAATTTCTAGAATGCACCCTTGATGTAACATAACCGAATAAATTAATTTTGTGAGTTAGTTTGTCATGCATTACTTTTAAAAAAAAATTGTTTTTATTATCTAAAAATAAGTTGAATTTGTTCGGAGTTAGTAACATACCCCATCGATCAGTTCTTTGATCATTCCATTCCAATCGCCTTGATCGTTCCTTTCACCATACTTGTTGTCATCAGCAATCCTCAATTGGTACCGGAAGCCAAGGATGTTGGATATTTCTCTTAAAAGATCTATGCAGTATCCTTCGTATTTGTCATTTCCTTCAAGTTCTTCGTGATTGTCTTTCAACATTGCATACGGTGCATTCTACAAGAAGTGCACAAAATCATTTAGTGATAGACTAATTATCTGAACTAAATGTATGATGTACTATACCAAAATTGTACAAAATATATACTAGATGTACTAAATATATGATGTACTAAAATAATTTAGTACATTATACAGGGTTATTCATAATTCCCTCCGCCTGTAAACGTCATTTTTCTTCACTACAACTGGCTTCAGTGGTACATGTTACTGCCATCTACCGGCAACTGCTTAAATTAAAACTTAAATACTTTCGGAATAATTTCATATGTTCTTTTTTGCCATATTCGTCTTCGTTTTTTTTTTTACTATAACGCTTCGAAACCTCGGTGGGAATTAGGAATAATCCTGTATTTGGTTATATCGAAATTTTTTTTTCCATATTGAAAATGACTCTGCAATAAATTGTAAACTGTTCTTGAGCTCCATGCAAGCAATTTTAGTAGACATAATCGTAGCATAAGCGAGCTCTTTCAAATCCGAATTTGGATAGAATCATTTTAATGCAAAATTTGATAAAGTTATGTTTCAGATATTAAAAACATGTTAACAATATAGATACTGCAACGGAGCAATGGGATACCTGTAAGTGACGTAGTGCGAGTATCTCGATCCTGATTGGTTGTTGAAACGTGGTATTTGTTTCGTTAGCAACTGTTTTTTCCGTTATATTTCGAGTGAGTCAAACTCGTCTATTATCAATTCTCTTAAGTGACATATTCTATATTCTTACACAAAGATTTTAATTTTTTCATTATATATTTCTTACTTAGCTCAAAGACAGGCACGGAGTCATGTAGAATATAAACAAACTAATTATTCATCGAAGTTTGTACAAAACAAAAATATATCGCGTTTGTAATAAAATAAATAAACAAATAATAAATTCAAGCTAAGTAAAAGGCGTAGGCGAGAAAGAATTAGATTTCAACGAATTCGAGTTGCGAAACTGCTATGTATTTAATTAATTTTAAGTTAATTAACATTCTAACTTATGTGGAGGAACTTAGCTCAATTTCAACACGCCATCTTGTTTGTAACTATCAGCTGGCCCTGAGGTAATAGGTCACGTATATGGGTATCCGAGAACTTCTTCTTAAAGTGCAAGTACCTAATTGTATACCTGTAAGTGACGTCATCGTAGGTAAATCGTTGCATTTGACAATTCAGAAGCCAATGAGGTTCGACATACATGCAAGACTTCCCTTACAGGCATCCTTATGATTAAATCTTGTTTAAATCACATGGTTAGGCATAATCACTTTACTTCTAGAGTTGCAAGTAACTTATGGTATCCTTATTATTATTTTTTTAATTTAAAAAACAATTTAAATTTGGTAATGAATCTGTGCTTGACTTTTTTTTAAAGTTTTTTTATTTTTTCTTTGTTCAAATTATGAATACTTTGATTTATTAAGTAATATGTCACACTTTTCGGTGTAAAATTTCTTCAACAAAGCTTAGCTTATAACTAAAATGCTTATTTTAACGTTTCTTTTGTAAACACTATCAGGGAAATATACTTAAATATAGCGAACAATATAGCCTGCACAGCAAATAGAAATTAGCACCATATATGTTGTACAAATTTAACATGGTATAACTTTGAAACTATTTCGAAATAGAAGGGGAAAGAAAACCATAAATTATTTTCTATTTATTGAATCCGTCTACATCGAAAATTTTAGCTCGATTGCTAGTGCACTCTTTGCGCAGTAGCTGTATTCAAAATTCCATTATTAAACCCAAAATAATATCAAGTGTTGTAAAATATGTATGGCACTGGTAAAACAAAATATAATTATTTAACTCTTTATTTCAACAATAAATAATACTATACTTTCAAAGAAGGATATATTTACTATTTGAGAAACTTACTATCAGGGTAGTTGCTATGAGAGTTTTATTCTTGAGAGACTGAATTACTTCTTGCTCTACTCTGGAATAGTTTGTTGTCATGTTCAAACCTGAATGTGCACTCCACTCACCTGCCTGTAGAAGAAAAAAACAGAAATTAAAAATTCTAAAATCTTCATCAACGTTTTTTAAGCCTACTCGAAACTTTTATTTTGTAGAATTTCCATTTTTCGTTTGCTTCTTTTATATCTTTTTTCTTTGTTTCAAATTGCTCCAGTTTTACAGTAATCGTAAATAAGCAGTCCATAATCGTTGTGTTTATGCAAACAATTATAAAGAGTGTTAGGGCTACTCTTTGTTCAAAAAATGAGTGGAAAATACATATCGTTTGAAAAATATACTTTCAATTCGGTTGATAAACATTAAATTCATATTGTATTCTAAGTATTATATTTCTTTTACTTTTTTATTCTAAAACTTTTAATATTTTAAAACTTAAATTTTAAAATGTTACTTATATTGAGATTATTAATACGAAAAGAACTTTTTTAATTTTTCGTCTGTAGTTAATATTTTTATTTAAAAAAATCATATTTATGTATTCATAAGACGTAATTATTATCGTTTGCGTTCCATACTTAATAATAATAATTTTAGCATACAGTGTTCCATATTGACAAAATCCGCGAAAGACAGAGTTAAGAACGATGAAAGGAAAACAAAAAATGCAGATAGGGCAAGTAAAACTAATTTTATGAAAATTTGTCGATTTATTGGAATTTTTCACATTATATTAAATAGAAAAATAGTCATATAAAAAGAAAAGAAGTAAGAGTGAGAAGCCTGCTATGTTATCTTCATGGATCGGAATGAAGGTTCGTCTATTATAATTTGATAAAAATGTCTGCTAAGAACATTAAACTTAAACATACATATATAAATATATATCATAAAAATATTTCTTAAATAAATTTTTTAGAGATTTTTATTAATAGCTTCGTTACAAGTAAATCCACTACTATTATTATTTGTTAGCTCTGATATTTTATGAGTTCATATAATGTGAATCTGTTGAACATAATACTTTATGGGTTCATCATTCAACATGCATAATTTTTGATATTTTCACAACTTCTAAGAACGCAAGAATCAATTCTGGTTTCTCTCTCTGTCTAATTTAGAGTTTATTGTTAGCATTTCTAATTCGTTTCTACTGTAACCAGCACAATTTATAAAGAATTCTATTCTCACTTCAAAAAATAAAATTTTATATTGCTAAAACAATATAATAAATAGAGGTTCACTTACTTCTCGCAGTCCATCATATGTCAATTCCAAAACTTTTAGCCGAAAATCAGATCGAAATCCATGATGGTCAAATTTAATGTCACCAGTTAATCCTTTAACGTTAATCTGCGTATAAAAAGAAAACAAATCAATAATTTATAGCCCATGCTGTTATTAGTTTCTTTATACTTTTGAACTATATACTTGGCACCAATCTATCAACTCAGACTCTGCCAATAATTTTCTAACAGTTTAAAACACACTCACACTTTAACTATACATTAAAAAAAATTTTAAGATAAATTTATTTCTAAAACATAACATGCATGTAAATGCAATATATTACAAAGAGTTAATAATAAAATATTTAGCCTCATAGTCTCCATTAATTGTTTAAAAATGTTACTTTGAATTATAACGGTGGCAATATTTTGAGTTACATTTGTAGCCATAGACGTTGACTGGGCCAATGTTTTTTATAACAGTTCATAACAGATAATTTTATAACAGTCTCTTCCAACACTTCAAGTTTAAATTTACAACTTTTAAAAAAAAAGTTTCCCTTTAAAAAGATACATACATGTAAATACAATATTTTATAAAGACTTGTCATGGAATTGGGTATTATATATAGTCTGTTTTAATTGTTTAAAAAAGTTATAAGTACTAAATTTTCTTAATTAAAAATAAAGTACTAAATTTTCTCAATATTTCATTCATATTATAAAAACGTTAATAAAATCGTTGTATTACCATTCTCATGTAGTTTATTAGTGATATCCCGTGTGGCCATGGTTCTTCAGTGTCACATGACAAGGATTTTATGTGTATCTTTTGACCTCTGTCCAGATCAGTCAAGGCCCGAGCAAACAAATGAGTAGCGTCATAGAGGAGAGCTGCCTCTGTCTAAATGAAAATGAATACAATATGTATTTTTGTGTCATACCAAATTTAAGTCAAAATAATTATTAAAGAATGTATTGTTGTTGTAATGAGGAGTTTATATGCCCGGAATTATCTTTGGGTAAATGAGTCTTATAAATGGATGTAAAAGAAATTTTTGAACAGCACAGAACGAATCCATCCATCCAGAACGAAATATGCAAATCGTAAAAATAATCTTAACAAACATTTAAGGATCTTTCGATAACTAAACAATTTGGTATCATATCTTATAGATTGTAGCTAGTTTTAATTTATCATTTATAAAATGGTATGATTAATAAGAGAAAGTAATTTCTTTTCTGTTTGGTTTCAAAATCTTTCATTATTATTAACACTTACGACTTTACATATTTTAGGTAAGTCTCTTATCTAGACGATTCTGCACGCAAAAATTGTATTTTAACCTGCAGTCTTCTCTGCACAGCATAACCGGTTTTTCCATGTTATTAGATTGAGAAAATGTGTATTGGGGTGAAACATTCTTCCAATTTTGCTCATTTGCTAAATCACCAGTAGGTAAATTTACGAAAATCACATTGTTTTGATTAAAGGTCTAATTATTAGGTGAAATATATTCATGGTGTAACGTTTTTATTTAGCTCAATTGTACTGTTATAAATAATAAATTGATTTATTACTTTCGACTAGTCTCAAAGTCACCCTTCAGCATTATGAAGAGCTGAATGGATAAGTGACATTTTAATAAACTTAAATAAATTCGTTTTAAAATTTAAACTTTGCTCTTAATATGAGTGAGGAAATAGAGATTAGGCATCGACTTCTCTACTTGTCTGCACGTTTCGAACTGGGCGAAATTTATAAATCTCAAATACTCATTTGAACTTTTTGCATCTTAGCATTCGTGCTATTGTCATTTCAATACACCATTTCCACATCACCATTTTAATAATGGTTTTTTGAGATAGTCGACGACTGTTTGCTGTCGAATGTAGACTTCATCCACCGCAATTTAATGACTTTAATGAAAAATCAATGTTGTACAGTTAAATAAGATTTCACCCCCGAGTAATTAAAAAATTTTCAGAAACGCCAACGCCATTCAAAAAATACTTCCACTAAGCTCCTGGTATGCTTTCAATTACTTTAAGTCTCATAGTAAAATTCAGATTTGTGCGTTTTTAAGGTTATTTCTTAATTTTTAAATGATTGTATTGAAAAAATGGAATACACACTGACCGTCAAGGTAGGTTCCCTCCCTGTTGCTTTGAATACTGGGTTTCTCCATGTTTCTAACACGTCGGCGTAAGCTGGACTTTCTTCATCGACCAGCTTATACCCCGTGATATTAGTGCCTCCGTATTGGAAGTCCTCCAAATCAAGAGTGTGGAGGTCCTATCGCAGAAAAAGAACATAGTATAATCTTTGACGTATACAAAAAACAAAACAAAAAATGAAATTAACCTTTTTATACGGCTAAATTATAAATATCTATATTAACTATACACATTGAGCCATATTAATTTATGGATTCATATGTATGCCATGGCTGTGTGGTCGGGCAAGAAAATATTGTGAGCATACGGGTGAAATGGCAAAACAGTTTTTATTTTATCTTTATATAATTATGGAGACCAAGAATCCGAATCATACTGAAGATGACACGCATCGTCTTTTACGTTAGGGATTTGAAAGGGAAAATCTTACAAGTAATCCCCATCACATTTCAAACGGGATAATTCAACAATTATAATAGGATAGAATGCTTTGGCAGAAGTTTCTCTTCATCTTTTTCTTTAAGGGAAAAACTTATAATTACTGCATTCTTTAAACCGAAATGTAGGATGTGAATTGCTAACTATGAGAACGGGTTTCGATTTTAATAATGAATTAAGAAAGAGCATTTGTACAAAGAAATAAAAAAAAAGATTTGTTAAAGCTCTCTGTGTTACATATATGAAGTCCTTACTTAAATAGCAGTTAAAACCGCTTTTGTTTATTATAAAGTCGAATGAGTGTATCAAATTTTCTAACTTGCCTAATTTATGATGCCCTTTGTTTTGTTGACTAGTTTTAAAATTCAATAGAAATGATTAGTATGAATATTATAGTGAAGTAACTTCAATATTTCGATCAGCTATTATCCATTTATAAGTTGCTCTGTTAACGATTGATCTTGGTATACATGCTTAGAGTCTGCATCATGAGTTAGATCTTAGAAAGCTATATACTTGGAGAGACGCAAAAAAATATATGATTATCCGAAGACGTAACGTAAATGCGTATTTCTATAATATTTCAATGACTATGTCAAAGAGCTAAAAAAAGAGGCTTTCTAGAAATCTTGAAATAAATGAAATCCTGAAAAAACAGGCAATTAATAAGAAAAATCGAATTCAACGTTAAAATATATTCATAGCATTTTCTTGTTTAGAAAAAGTACTGACAAATAACAATGCAATATTAGTTTTAAATAATTATTTCAGCCAAATATAAATAGTAATTAAATTTTTACCAAGGAGGTAATGAAGTAATTATGATACTCTGACATCATGTCTACTTGTTGAGCCTATGGAAAGAGAAAAAGAATGTGTTAATTATAGTATTATTTCGAATTTTAAATTTATGGAAGATTTTCATTAAAGTACAGTTTATTTGTAATTTTAGAGTGTAAATTTCACTTTGATTTGCTTTCGATACCGTTCTATATAGTTCACGCTTTCATGCGTTTTAAGATTAGAATGTCATTGAAAGGAGAGAAGAAGAAAGATATGCTTAGAAAAAAAGACATTTGAAATATATATATATACACACAAGGGGGCTAACCCCCCTGTCAGCTAACGCTCACCAACCCCGATGATTGCTTCGCAATAATTGCCGTTTCTTGGCATAAAACAGTTGAAATTATTAAATTAAAAATGCATGTACTAAAAAGAACTCTTGCTCAACCACTTTCCACGTCCAAATACAGGGTTATTCATAATTCCCTCCGGAGTTTCGAAGCGTTATAGTAAAAACACGAAGACGAATATGGCAAAAAAGAACATATGAAAATTATTCCGAAAGCATTCAAGTTTTAATTTAAGCAGTTGCCGGTAGATGGCAGTAACATGTACCACTGAAGCCAGTTGTAGTAAAGAAAAATGGCGTTTACAGACGGAGGGAATTATGAATAACCCTGTACTTCCTTTATGCTATTATTACGACCTATTAGTAAACATAAATTATTTTTTCAATTAATCATTCTTTGAAATAACAATGAAAGTTAATAGTATATTGTTATAACAAATTTGGAGAATTAACAACTGTAATTTAATATTTTTGCTTACCAAATGAGGAGGTATATTTTAAATACAATAGTTGGATGCATCACTTTGTGCACCAAGTTGAAAATTAAGTTCTAAATCATTTAACAATCTCTTTAAATAATAATTGTGTTATGGTTAATAAAATCAGACACCGATTCAAATAACTTTACCCTGAAATGTAACGCAGAATTACGTTGGTCTAATAATGATAATAATAAAAACAATCCTCGCAAACTTAATTTAGAAAACAAACAAAATCAAAAACTTAATAACAGGTTACCTTTAGGGATGCAAAAATATTTATAGGGAAACAATGCCTTTATTACTTATATCAATTTTATGCTAATGACAACCAAGCCAATATTAAAATTAATGTGGGAAAACTTGATTCTACCATTTGATTTTCCAGTCAATAAAAATGCTCCAACAATAATACAAAACTTTGTCAGACTATTATGTTTTTATGTTACATATAGATATAATAAATTTTGTTGAAATTGGAGATGGTTTAGTAGAGATTGTTTTGAACATTGATTTATTTAACGCGGCTGTAATTTAACATCTTCTAGATAGGGAAACTGAAAAAAAGGATAGGTAAATATTAATTTCTAACAATCATCAGGATTGCTAAAATGATAAATAATTTCAAAAATATGCTTACTTTAAAAAAAAACGCATAATAATAAAGAGAAATGTCAAACGTACTAACATGTTTCAGAACTGTTTGAACGCTTTTAGTAGGGACGTCGATTACAATGTTTTTTATGCCAGCTCTTCCCAATTCTTTGAGCAGTTTTCGATATTCTTGATGAGGAAGGAATTGTCGAACAACAACTTGTCTTTGCCTTATGAAAGGATCTTTCAATAGTTCCTGAAGACGTATCAAAGCTGAAAAGAGAATTAATTATAAAACTTACATCTTTAAAGAAAGACGATGCATGTTGCATATACATGATTAACTAACTTAAAATTGTTAAGCGCATATTTTAATGCATTTGAAGTATATCTTCGTTACATAAAAACATAATAGTAAACATTATTGAAAAATAGTAATATATCTGAAATTTTTGTATCATATAGTATTTATCCTTAAGAAACGAAAATCATTCTTTTTTTTTTTTAATGTTCAAACTAATAAACTTAACACTTAATATATCAAATTTGTCAAATAGATATTACGTGTCTATGTTATACATCAGCTGTTTAGCTTTTGTAGTGTGCCAAATATTGTATTGTAGATACTAAAAGAAATGCTGATGAGTGTGCTGGTTGCATAAATATACTACCGCAATAAAAATTTAGACTTGGTGTGGAGAAAGTAGTTACACGGTTATTTTATTTATAGAAATAACAATTAGTTATAAAGCAATTATTTAGATTTATTTAACCTATTTAAAATGGCTGTATGAATTTCAAATATGTACGGTGCCTTACCTTTTTCAAGCAGTAGCATTGATACACATATTATACGATAGTCAAGTTATGGCTTGAGAGGTGCGTGAGGAAGTAGTACAGCACATAATGGATCATTGGGATGAGTATTCTATTTTATCTCAAGACAGAATGCGAATAATTTTGATGCTTCTGCTACCTGCTATGCTGAAATATCCCGAACTCATAGTTACGGTGGTTTGTGCGATTTAATAGTTGGTCGGACAGATTCTAAATTCTTACTAAAATTCAATACATAAAGAACTTTGAAAATATCGCAAATGTCGCGGATATCTTTAGAAAATAGTTTAAATTAAAATCTAAGTACTTCCGCTTGGGCAACAGCTAGACAATAAAAACATTTGGTTAATGTATTGTTTAAAACTAATTAAGGTGTTAAGATTGAAGGAAAGTTTTGAAAAATTAGAATATTTCACTACAGTGCTGTGTTTTCGGTATGGTTATCATTAAAGTTTATGCGTTAAACAAGACAATTTTGAAAGGTAACCAATCTGGTCGCCAAAGGCGGCTAGTTGCACTTTAATTTTATTACGACGTTATCTATTTGTTTTAATATAACTACCATCACTCTCTTCATAGACGATTGCAAATTTCCTCCATTCTTTTGACTTGACAAAATCCAGATAGGCTTTTCCAAGAGCTGTTGGATGAGGGAAAAGGTTGATGGAATGGTTATCTCTTTTGGTGCGGTAATCCCAACGGGTCTCAATATGTGGTACTTCTAGAACGTCGCAGGTTGACTGCACTGCTGCACTGCCCTCGTTTGACTGAGGACCAAACATAGCGGCCATCCCTTCGCTTAACAGATCACATACTGAAAATAAAAAAGTGACTGTATTAGAATCGCAACCCATTACTCTATTATAAGGTGACCAGCTTTCTAAACCATGCTTCGAGGACAAATACGCGGAGAGTCTTCAAAAAAAAATCAGAAGACACCCGTATATTTAAGGGAAATATTGAATTATGTGTGCAGCAAAGCTTTCTTTTATTTAAAATTGAAAGCTAATATTAGATGCAGAGCCATCTGCATCAAGCTTGATTTCATTACTAAGTAATTTTGATATGTAATATGATATAGTGCATTTGTTTAACACTTGTAAAATGAAGAAGTTCATAGTAATTAGTTTATTTCTTAATGAAATTATTTTCAAATGAGCGTGTAGTAAGATAAATTATCTTGCTTAATAAAGCATGCACATTTTTTTTAAATATTTCATTGCATATAAGAAACGATGAGATGCTTACGAGCAATTTGAGGACAAATATTTATATTTGATGACATATTTTGTCCTCAAAGAGTTTTCAAGTTTTTGGGGACGACTATAGGTAGTCAGTGGACTGTCCCGAAGATTTGAGGACGTTTGGTCACCTTACTCAACCAACATTAAAAAATAAACTTTTAAGAAACTGTGGCTGCTTCATTAGATTGAAACTTTATTGGGTATGTTTCATTACCTTTTCGGGCAGCTTGGAAGCTATCGTGTCGTTCTACTTTTTCTAATTGAGGTGTAAGTCGGGATTGGGGTAAAAGTCTGGGATCTGTATTGACTCTTTCGACGGAGTACTTGAATGCTGTTTCCAGCATTTCATCTCCTGTTTCGAACATTCCCCCTGAAAAAAAGAATATAGCATTCAGTCTTAAAATGTTGCCTCGTAAGTTGATAAGTTGAATGCGAAAATATTCATTTTGAAAACAAATCTCTTGAGCATTTTGTGTGTCACCTGGACAGACAGGCATGAAAAAAGAATAGAATGAAATATGTTAATAAATACATTAGCAGGAAATTCCACTGTTATAGTTTCAAACCGCCCGTTTTTTTCAATTTTTACATAATTTGACAGAATACACAGGATTGGAATTCTTATAAAGTATGTATAAGCTTATATATAAGCTAAAACTCGTGGGAATGGACTCGTGGAACTTAAAGAATCGGAACTTGTAGAATGAAATACGCTTTTAGCTTCGGTAAACTTTAAACGATTATTTCTCAAAAGCAAATTGGTTAGCAAATTTTCAACCAATTTGCTTGCAAATTTAACAACTTGCATAATGCGCAAAAGAGGACTATCCCGATTAACTTTTGATCTAATGATTGGATCTTCACGCTCTAGGACTCAAGCCTATTGGTTAGAGGGGGGTGACTTCAAATATGCTAATTAATTTCTGCAGACGATATTTTAAGTAACGAAATCAGACACAAAAACCTACTTTCTCTGAATAAACATACCTTTTTTGACAAATTTCTGCACTAATTAGTTAGGATTTATTTGAGATCGAAAAATCCGATCGAACCATTAAGATTGGGTCCTAAAAAGTGAAGATCCGATCACTAGATCAAAAGTTATTCAGAATGGTCCGTTATTTATTTTCCGTTATTTATGGTCTGATATTTACTCACTGTACATTATTATAGTATTTAGTTTCCGTTGAATTTATGACGCTTTTCTAATAACATAACAACTCTGACATTCATAAAAATCCGAGTTAACCAATTATTTAATTAAAACCAATAAACTTACCTTATCAGAATCCTTGCGTGCAACAAAAACTATATTAATAAACATGTATGTTGTTAGAATTTATAAGCTAATTAATCAAAATATAAGAAGAGTATGCAAGTGTGATGGACATCGCTTAAAAAAATGATATTTCAAGTCATCCCTATTCACTCGATGCAATCACTTTAATTTCCATCAGTTTCGCGTTGTGCTTTTTGAAAAATAGCCTTACATGTGTATACTGTCGAATTATATAAAAAATAAGAACAAAGTTTAGGAAAATTTCAAAGTGGTTTTTCCTTTTAAATTAAATTATGCATTTATTAATTCAGAAAAGAAATCTATCTTAAGTTATTTTATATAGGAGTTCAGTACTGGAGAAATTATTATAATAGTTTGATTTTTCTTCCTCAATAACTTCAAGTTTGCTATGACATTAGCTGGGAAATTGTACTTTTAGAAGTCATTAATTATCTTTAAATTGTTCATATTGAAGGAATTCCTGTAATTTTAGAACAAAATCAGAATGTTTGCATCACAATTTTATAACGGTGTTTGTACAATATAAAATTCAGAAAAAAAATCTTAGTGGTGTAGATAATGTTCTAAATAAGACTTGTTTAGCCCCGTAATTTTTATTCTGTTAAAAATTTAAAAAAAAGAATTTTTCCTTGCTTTAATTTTCTGTATAAATTTAAAAGGAGGTCTGTTTTTAAATAAAGCTTTATTGAATCAATGTCTTGTCAAATTGAAGCCCTAATGAAGACTGTATAGTGGATCCAACAAAGCACAAAAATGAGCATATAAAACAGAAATGTTAATAAAACATATTAAAAAAATAGTGAATCCTTGTTCTTGCCTTGTATCATTAAATAATTGAAAAAAATTATTCTAATAGTTTGGCCAGTACTTTAATTTAGTTTCATTGCATTAAAGTTTTATATCTAATGTCAGTTTCATTCAGATGGAGATTTTAAACAATTATTACCATTTTTAATCAAACATTTTTAATGAATGTATGTACAATATTATAAGACATGACAAAAGTCCTTATTTTATGAAATTTTTTGAGGAAGGACTTATTGTGGTAATGGTTTTAAATCAATTTGGTGCATTTCCACTTGAAAATTTACTATATTTAGGGTAGTTAAGGCTAAAATGTTTGTTGGTTTGTCACGTTTCAGGCAGTTGGTCTTGAAATTACGATAACTGGCTTGTAAGCACGTATAATTTTCAACTAAAAAAATTTTAGTAATAAAAGTAAAAATAAAAATAAAGTTCAAGTAAAAATAACGTTTTCTTTATTAAATAAATATTTCTTCTTTTATGAAACACAAAATTCATTTAAATGTGCTTCTCTGGTTATTCTTAATAATCGATGCTTGTTATTACAAAAATTCTTAATTAGCCCATGTTAGGAAAAACATCAGTGTAGAGAACATCAATGCTAAGAAAACCAGGAAATTACGCTTAATCTGAAAAAATGCAGGGAATAACGAACAATTACGTGCAAGCCCTTATCTCAAAAAAAAAAAAAAAAAAAAAAAAAAAAAAAAACATCATTGTAGTAAACAGCGAGTAACTGTATATGCTTCATCTTAAAAAAAAGATGCTAGTGAAAACAATAACTACCCAGCACCCTATACACAGATGTTTTCCCTAATCTATCCTTAATCCTTTGTACGAAAAAAGGAACAAAACTTCAAAAAAATTATTCCAACAACTAGCGAAAAAAATGAAAATATTCGAATGTTATAGTGGATTTGGGATATTATCATATTATGAAATTTAATTTAAAACCTAACTACTTTGCATCGCCAAACATGAAATCACCTGCTCAAACTGTAATACTAAGAAAATAATCTATTCTATGACATAGACCACAAAAAAGAACTGTTCCATGCGATGTAATTGAATAAAATTATTGCATATTTAAGGAACCGAATTTGTATCAATTTTGCATTCCTTAATGGTTGAAATTATTAGGATCTGTTTCAGTTTGTAGTAGGGACCTTCGGCAAAGTAATATATATTTCGCGTGGCAGTTTTAACTTTAATGTAAACAATATACAACATAATAATACATTAAACGATAGTTACAATAAAATTTTTGATCAAGTTAAGCTATGTCAGTATTTATAATTTATGATAAATATAAGGATAGTAAAAAATTGTAACGATTTTTTATACATATAAATACGACTTACCCACTTTGATTGACTCGGGTAGAGCTTCAACTTTATACCATAGAAATAACAGTAGAACATGAAACCGCCAAATTTTGTTAACTTTTAACAACTCCATGTTGAGTTAGATCAACGTATTAAACGTCTGATATATTTTCATTTGGAACTACGTTTAATAATAGCATATTCCATTTGGGTGTATTACAAACAGCATAATGTGTCACAATTTTTTTTCTTATTGTATAAAGTTCATTTGCGAATAATTTTTTTCTCAAAAGCTGAATTCAAGCAAGCAATAAACAACCATAACCATTTGACTTTCACGAAATGTTTAATTAGTCACAACCTCCAGGAGCTAACCCTAATCGTATTAACAGTTTAGAACTGGAAATCGGACTACTAATTTAATCAGAAAACTACATCGTCAATTAACACCTTCTTAAAATCATTAGCACTTGTTGGAATTAATGACTTCGATGTGCACAGATTTTGTTTCAGATAGCAAGACAATATATGCGGCAAAAGCTATGCTGGCGATCCTGCCAATCACAGTCAAGTCTCTGGATTCAAATTAACCAATTAGGAAGAGAGCCTGTCATCGAAAATGCCAATAAATACAAAAGAAAGCTTAGGATGCTTTTATAATACGAGTTAAGCACCGAGATTTGAAGGAATTCATCTAGAAATTCCAGGACGAATATAAGATAGACCAAAAGGACGCAGCTATCGATTGCATCCAAAGACTCCTCTTCATCCTTCGGTTGCCATAGCAGCAGCGATGGGTACCATCCGACACTAGGATCCAGGAGAAAAAAGCTCAAATGGAGTCTAAGCGTTAGTTTCTTTTGGCTAGATTCTTAAACGGGACATCAGGAACTTTGGCTTTATATAATAAATTAATCGGCTCTGCTATTTAAACAAACAATTGTATATTTGTTGGATGAAAGTTTTAATCGACATTTTAGTGCGTTTCGGGAATATTAGCTCTAGAAAATACAACATATTATCTTACCAAAGACTGTCTATTTAAGTAAAATAGACTGGGGGAAAAAAGAACAGCTGATTATAAAAAATTTTAAAGCAACATTTTGCACTTTTTAAAATATTACTCAGTGTTTGTGTTTTAATTGTTTGAATTTACAATTACTTTGATGGCACTATTTTTAATATTTGCTGTTTGAAAGATATTTATAGAAAAAAGAAAACTTTTTTGTCCGTTTATCCAACTTTTAAGTTCACGATTAAATTTTTTTTGCTGTCAAAATGAGCTATAAAATACAGATAAAACATGCACCAGCCTTCAAAAGCTCATTACTATTATTATGTTAATTGCTATTACTATGTTACAAAAATTTGTTTTCATATGGATATATGAATACAAATTTTCGACATGACTCAGTTTTCGTTATAACTAAATTTTTAGGACATTCAAAAAAATTTTGTTACTGAGAAAAATTTTATTAATTTTATAACTATATTACTGAGAAGAAAATTATGAAAAACAATGCGGTTTTACAATTTTATAACACGATAGATATTAACATAGAATTAAAATAGCATGCATTTTAGATTCATTTTGCATTCATTAGATGCATTTTGTACGCATGCAATAGAATGCATTTTAGTTGAGTGTGGAATGCTCTAATTGAATTTCTATTGTTAAATACAAAATATGAAATTTTATATTTATTATTAAGCAGTTCATAATAGTCAATATCTAAAATAGAAAACACGGCACGTAAATCATTCAAATGCTGGTTAACCCTTTCCGGTGCAGAGTAGCCAGCTTGGAAACATTAATTCTAACTATAGTTATTTTACAAACAATGTTACAAAAGATTGGGAATGTAAGACTTATTGCTTTTCAACGTTTACCAACCACTATTCTTTGAAAAACAAGGAGCTAAAGTATGTCGCTTTACTTAGAATGTACTGTCCAAGGTCGTACTTGCTAATGTCCAGCCACATTAAAATTTTTATCCGAAATTTGCTATTCCGGAAAAGGTTAAATAAGACATAAATCTAATTTAATTCATGTTTGGTACGCGAAACGTTGGTTTTCAGTCTGCTATTTTAGGTTTTATTTATAGCTTTGATACGTGTGTATTTTATTAAGCCAAAATAATTAACGTTTTTTATTATGTTCAAATGTAAATTTTCTTTCTTTAAAATTAGCCATGATCTTCGTTCTAATGATTAATATACATCTGTAAGTTCTTTTTTTCATATATTTACTAAGAGTGGTAAAAATAAGTCACATAATTCAAAAATATTGTCCACTTATCTCTATATTTTCAATTAGACACATTAACGGTTAATAATCTATGGGTATAACGTTAAAGTATGCATAAATGAGCCTGCGTATCATCTATCTACCAATTTGCACACCTTAAATATGCTAAATAAATTGCGGTGAAATTTTAAGTAACAGAATCAGACGCAAAACATATTTTACTGAATAAGTATGATTAAATTTATTTTTTATTTTTTTTGCCGCAGATTCGGGTTTTGATCCTTAAAATATGGGGAGTAGCTATCATTTGAAACGTGTGACTCAGTATTTCTTTGATTAAGATTGGACACCGGTGTCCCTTTTATTATTTTATATAAATTTTTTTCTAACCCTCTAATTACAAGCAAAAATATATTTTAGTATTTTTTCAATTTTTTTTTTTATAAAAAGCAGTCTAATAGTTACTAAAAGAATCTGCTAGTTTATCAGAATTATATTTGTACTAAAATATAAATACCACAAAAAGTAGTTTGAATTTTTTTTTCATTCATATTCAAAAATTTATCAATAATTGATTTTGTAAATCGAAGAAATTTTAATGAAGAATAACTGCAAATAAATGCAAATTTAAAAAAATATTGTTTGAAAATGAGCCGTGTTTGGAAGATTTTTCTTTTAACCCAGAAAAAGATACAGGTGTTTCATGTTGTATTTCATAACCATAAGTCATTAAAATGATAAATATAACATTTTTCACTTATATTGACCTAAATTAATTCCAAATAATGAAAGAAGTATCTGAAATTTAATAAAAAATTTTCGTCAAAGGGTTAACTTTTATTTATGTAACCGCACCACCCACCGAATTTGTGAATTCGTTACTTTACGTTTAATAAATAAATGAAAATATAACCGAAAATTCTGAAATACGAGTAGCTTATAATTTCCCAGCAAAATCGATTACCACCCCCGATATTATCGATTATCATAAATACTATTTCAAATCCATAAACATTATTTTCCTCGCAACAAAACGAGTCTGTTGCCTGTCTGAAAAACTACTCCGCTGCTTTGTAGATACATGCACAATGAAAAAAGTAATTCTCCGATATTTTCGTTTCATTTCCTGCACCGCCTTCTCCAGCCTTTCGTTAATTACTAATTGATTCGTAATTTACTAACTGATTCGTTAATTATGAAATTAATTTATTAATTAATATTGTTAATTACCTAACGTAATTTCGTTACTACGTTTATAACTAAATTTGTTAATTAACAATTAACTTATAATTTCGTTAATCGTTAATTTACTTCCGTTTCGTTAACTTCATTCTTATAACTTTTTCTCATTTTATAACGAACGAATAACGAATAATAATGAATGAAAAATTCTCGAATTCACTTCCCTTCATTTCATAAAATAATTAAGTGTAATATTTGTGTATAATTATTCTGCAAAACTTTTCTTTTAGCGGAAAACCGGCCTAAATAATGAAGCTTAAGAGCAATTGTGTATATATTAATAAAAGAAAAAATATTAATTATTCTGAATAAGATTATTTGTTATTTGTAAAAAAAAACACTTTTAATTTTTGTTTGGGTGGGACTTAAAATTAGCTTTTATGTCAGACAGCTGAACTCGCATGTCAGGAGCGCCATCCTCTGACCTGCTTTGGTAAACTGAAATTAAATAAAAGTTGAATTATGGTTTTCGTTAAAATTAAAACGGAGAAGAACTATTAGAAACATTGAAAATGGTTATATGGGAAACATATTTCTCTATTGTTGAATTTAGTTCTGCATAAATTTAAAAGTTCGATGGGAAATACAAAATAAAATTTTTTATAATTGCATATTCTTTATATAATTTGTTCAATGTTTTGTTATAAGAAAATGTTTACAGATTTTCTGTCAATTAGCTATTTATTTTTTCTATAGCATTTAAAAAAACAACCGAAACATTAAAAAATCTAATTAAATAACGGAAAATTAATTGGATATAAATATAATTACAGGTTCCGAAAATCATTAATGGTTAAAAAAAAAAAAAAAAGGGCTTAATTCTCGGAAGCTTTGTGATCCTTCCTGGGAAGCGGTCTGAACCACTGATCTAGAATCTGGACATGAAGGGAGGGGGGGGNGGGGGGGGGGGGGGGAGAAAAAAGAAAGTAAGAAAGAAAGAGAAAATTTAATAGTTCTGTAATTTCGCAAGGTTGTTGTGGAGGGGAATGGAGATTAATATTTTTAAGAAGGGACACTTTGTTTTTTCAGTTTCGATAAAAGCTCCAAAAAAACAATTGGAAGTAAACAGTAATAAAGTAAACTACATAAAATTTTCTGAAAAAATGTAAAAAATTCATTTTCTGTAGGATCAAATGTTTCATAAAATAAAAGACTTGAAAATAGTGTAAATTCTGCAGTGCAAATTTCTTATTTTAGACTTTTTTTTTCATAATATTTTAAAAAACTGTAAGCTCTAGTAAAAATAGTTAATTTACAAAACCTACCGTGTACAATATCCTAATGTTTATAATTTTTTTTGAAATTATAAATTATCCGTAATTCAATGGAATTAACGTGACATTTTCGTAATTTTACTGAGGCACCTCACGTGAAAAGAATTATCGTACAATAAAAATTAACCTAATTCGAATAACTTTTCAAATTGAAGTTATCAAACTCGGCCTTTAAAAATACATTTATCTATACAATACTTCTAAGACATCCTGAATAAATATTTTCAAAATTGTTTTAAGCATCGATTTTTAAAATTTAATTGTTTCATAAGCATGTAATGAGTAATGTATGTGCCCCTTTCGGTAAATATACATGTACTTTTTTTTTCTTTCTCCTTTTTAGTCAGAAATGTAAGTACTCAAATATTCACTTTTTCAGTTAATTTATTTAGTTTTTTATTACTCAATGTATCTACTTTTCGCGTCGTTTAATTTTAGTAAGTTAAAGCTAATTATTTCTTAAAAATCTTATTAAAAAAAATAAAAATATTATTGCTAAAGGTTACGTGTTAAAAAGTAAATTAAGAATAGAGAAATAAAAAATGAGAATAAAGAATGAGTGCAAAATAATACAAAGAATTATAATAAGAGTTTAAAAAAACTACAGGACGTAAGAACATGAATAAAAAAATCAAAGCCTGACTGTAAAACTACTTCACTGCTTAGAGAATTGGTATGCAGGGGAAAAAAGTAAACAACGCAAGTTTTATCCAGTTGTTTTCACTGCATCTATATTAAATATTTTTGTACATAACCATTAAAAATTTAATTTACTTAATAATTTCTAAATATTAAAAATTTTAACAAATAATAGTTGTCTCATAGCAAACAGTATTTATATATAAATCTTTATAATAGTTATGTTAATTAGGGTCGAAAGAAAATCCTACTCTGTTGGATGGCTCTAAGAACAATTTTTAATTATGACATAATTAATAGGTAATGAATGCGTGCATCAGTTCATGTCTTATAAATAAGAAGATTATTTTACAAAAAGTTCATCAATTTATAGTTTACAAGTTTTTTTTAAGGAGAAACTATTAGCATGATTCATATATATTTAATATTTAACTTTTTCAACAAAAACAGGCTGCCAAATAAATTTGTCCAGTTAATTTTAAGATAACAGTGACAATTAAATACGGAATTAGTTCCTTCATTAACAAAGAAAGTTACTATATTCGTTAAAATGCGTTTAAAAGTAAGAAAATAATTTTAAAAAAATAATCATTCAAAAAAATATAGTTTTTATTTAATAATATTGATAATTATACTAATCGAAGTGAAACTATTTTGTTTTACATTAACAACCACACGGGGAAAAAATATAGGAAAAAGTTTTGAAATTATAACATTTTAAATAATTATAACATTATTCTCTGATTTCAGGACGTTTCTCATTATTCTGGACGTTTTTCTCTGATTTGATACAAATATGCTTTAATCTATCGATTCTAAAGTTTCTCGAACTGCTTCAATGAGGATTGCTTCTAGAATATTGTCATTTTTAACCCTACCTATTTTAATATTAATAACCCTTCCTATTTTAATATTAATGCCCTTTTGAAATAAACTATACTAACTAATGAACTTCTCAAATAGATCTTTTATACTCCATTGTGGCCATTGCATAAATTTGACACACCAACTCTAAAAATAACGTCATCAAACTTTTAGTAACATCTTTTGAATGTTTGGTATCCACTATTTTAATGAAAAACGACTTTTCATATTCTAGATAAATCCGACTTTCCCAGATAAATCAGCAATTTCTATGAAATCAAGCGGAAAAGTCGGGTATTTTTTTAGTATTCTAGGGCGGATATTTTTTTTTCTCACTTTATTTAAGTAATAGTATCATTCGAATGTTTTATACCCATCATTACATATAATGCAGGTGTCAAAAAATTTTGACCATGCAAAGTAATTTAAAAAAAATATAATTTATCCAACTGTCCACCAGATTAGTCATGTTCTCAAAATTACAAGGCTTCAAACAAAATCAGGGGAAGTTTTTAATTTTTTTTTTTAAATAACGTCATTGGAATGTTTGACGCCCACTCTTTGTAAACCAATTTAAGAAAATTTGGTGTTGCACAGTATTTGAAAACAATTCATTATTTTTCCTACTGGTCAACCGCAAAGTCAGTGAAAATTTACTAAATTTTCAAAGTTAAAAAAAAAGAAATAAAAAAAGAAAACAATGTTATTAGGAAGTTTGACACCCATTTTTTTAACCAATTGAAAAAAATTCTGTTGTTGCACAATATATAAAACAATTTATTAGTTTTTTACTGCAATCCTTCTCCACACCACTGATAGTTGTGTTTCACACTACAGAAAGCTTGTTCTTAATTCCAGGCTCAAAACTCTTTGATACTCCTTCAAGGAACAGAAATAGGCAGTTGGAAACGTATACATTTTTATGCATTTTCCTCCTAATTACTTGCAATTTATTTGGTTCAATATGTCTATGAGCGAAAGCTTGAGATAAAGATAAGGATTACTGCAATGAAAATCAAGTGAATTTTAAATTTTTATTAACCAACAGAAAGTTCATTTCTGTCTAGCGTTTATTGTCTAAAACATAATTGAGCATTTTATTTTCTTACTTTATTATGAAATTTAAATATTTAGTATGCCTACTTTTTAAATATAAATTATAAGAGGAAAAAAGAAAGAGGGTGAGATTTACACATTCATTTAAAACCTAAAGTCCCACATTCTACTTTGTATATACAATTCAATTGCTTTCAAAGACCTCTGGTTACCACAATTTTTGTTCACCGTTATATGATCACATCTTTTATCTTTTTTAATAAATTGCCATTAAAAGAAAAGCCCCTGAGTGAAAACTATTCCCAAAAACTGAATAATAATTTAAAATTAAGAGCTAATTTGTGAATTGAATTTCGAAAAGATTTTCGTATTGATATACGGGGTGAAAAGTTACCAAATTTTGGCAATGAATTACTATATCCTGGAGATATTTCTGTGTTGTGATCTGCCAACTCCAATCGCCGAGGTGCCAAATCGGTTTTAAAACTGCTATTTAAAAAAATAAAATGTAGATGTTTGCCCTAGTGGTGGCTACGAGTTATACCTTTCGAGTTGGTCCCTATCTTTGATTTTTTGTTAGTTTCTCGCTAGTTGCTGCTAGAACGTTGCCAAAATTCAGTTCAGGATACAGAAATCTCCCCTTATACCCGTATTAATACCTGCTCACATTAATTTTAATTTTGTTCACACCAATAAAATAGCCAAGGTGTCATCAGGATTTAAAGCTGTGTTTTTTCCATTTTGCTGGCATAGGCAGTAAATTCGCCCATGCAAACTTGCTGAATGCAAGTAAATTCAAAGTTTTTTTTTTTTTTTTTTTAACAAATGAATAAATGGATGAAATAGCCAAAATTGCTTGCGCTGGTGAAATGGAAAAGTACCTTTTAAGCATCCAATAATATATACCCTTAGAGTTTGTTGCCTTCTTGCAGTTTCTGCCCAGAGATTGCTGAATTTTGGTGAATATTTTAGTGCAGATATCAATATAGAAATCTTCGAAGTTTTTTGAATTTGCATAAATTGAAAAAAAAAACAAAACATGTTGTGGTTTTCTCAAGGGGGGCTATAAGTTATTCCCAATCGGGGATATATTTTTTCTTTTAGCAGTTGCTCGGAATATCCAAAAACTTAACATTATTACCTATACAACTAGTCAGAGGCTCGCAGGAAGCTGAAAAAAGAATGGGGGGGGGGAACATCACAGAAGGAGACCAATTTAAAGATTAAAACTCCGGTTTAAGCAAATCACTAAACATTTCTTTAAAAAAATATACTATTAGTAAAGCTCTTTAGCATGTTATTGATAGTAGTTATCACAGACAGATACGGCTGCAAAAATATAACCTTATCGATTGTTTTTAGAAATTCTTGTACGTTGGACACTTTTTCTCTTTGTAATTAATTTAGCCAGCCCCAGCACACATTTTAATTTATCTGTTGTTTGTGCTAAACATAACCACAAGTCATGGTTTTTTAAACCATTAATGATCTTTAAGTTTTCCTTGTATATTATTTTCCGACGTACTTTTCTTTTTCTTATAAAGCAAAATTTGGTTTCCTCATTCTTAGAATTGAATGTAGAATGTTTTTAAGAAATTCAGGTATAGTTGATACTTTATTTATTTTCATCTCCATTCAGAGGGTGATCAAATGAAAATAAATGAGTTTTTTTTTTAAAATCCAGACTTTTGTTTTTTCTTTACCAATAATTAAATTAAACCTGTCCCAAGTACTATCTGTTTAATTTTACCTTATTTAATATAAATGCAGAGTATTTTATTTTATCTTTGATGCTATTGTTTTACAATAAACATATGTTTTGGGTAAAAATTGGACAAACGGACAGTGGCATAGGAGTAACTGAAAAAAATCTGTTAAAGACATAGCAGACTTGAACTTGTTGCCACCTGCATGCATGCCCAAATATATATTTCTATTTTTTTTTATAACTTATCAGCTCTTGTAATTAATTTTCAAATAAACATATTGTTTACATATTGGTGGCTTAAATAAACAATATTTAAATTTATGTTCATTTTAATTTTTTAATAGATAAATGTCTGTTGTAAAGGATAAAGAGACAGATAAAACAGTGAATATTGAAGGGATTTTAGCTGACTTTTTTCTGAAGAAAATGAATGGCTCTAAATCTGAGTCATGGAATTATGAGAAAAAAAGGAAAAAGAAAGATAAGAAACACAAGACGAAGAAATCTAGGCATAAAAGAAGCAGATCTTGTAGTTCCGAAGAAAAATCAAAAGATTATATGGTAATTAATGGCTTTTTTTATTCTATATAACTTCAAATCTTTTTCTTCTGTTAAATTTTTATGTGTACCTCAGTATGAAAACAATATTGCCCGACAATAATCGGGTCATGTGGAAATTCTGATCTGGCATGCAAATGTAAATATCAGGAATACCATGAAATACAGATAAAGGGCCCCTTAAAATTTTAAATCACGAAGAGGGAGTGGATAAATGGTAGGCACTAAAGTGGGGCAAAAAATAGTAAATTGATAATATTTGATAAACTCTAAATCATTGGTTCTCAACGGGGGCGATACCGCCCCCCTGGGGCGCTGGGAGTATGCTGAGGGGCGGTGAACTTGTTTTGGGCAGTAGGGGGGCGTTGGGTATGTTTTGGGCGGTAGGGGGCGATGAGCATGTTTTGTCATTCAAATTTTAAACTTAGAAATAAAATTATTAAATTAAGATTTATTTAATAAATAAAATTAATCTAAAATTAATATTAAGGAGAAAAAAATTAAATTAATATAATAAATAAAGATTATCCGATACACCATTTGTACCAGCAATAAAACGAACTTATACGGCACCTATTCTTCGATCCGAACCAACACATCACAGCGCATGAGTCTGTACCTTTTGCCTTTGACTTATTCAAGCCATTTGGTGAAAATTGAAGTCATTGCGCTTTCAGAATGAATTTTTGATTTGACCCGTGTTTCTTATAATGGTTTTTCTTAGCTTCATTACAGTTTTTTCCCCTGTCACCAACAATGTTGGTTAATAAAAAGAGGTGTCATCAATACAGTGCCACATACTTGAAGTTGGGATTTGTTCAATCACTGTTGAACTCTCAACTACCCATGTGTTTACTTAGTAATAAAGTTTTATCTAATGAGGTAATGAAATCTTACCGTTATCAGGAGCATTTGCAAAAAACTTATCCTGACAAACAAAATAAAGATTTGACATTTTTCATGAACATCTTCTTTCACGCTTCTGAAGGCACCTTCGGTCTCTGGGTTACTAGCAACCTCATCACAAAAATGCGACGATGGTTTTATAACTTCTTATAATATATCAAAATTTATTGCTAAATCTGGGAAAGCTCATACCATCGGAGCAGAGTTGATATTGCCGTTTGTCAAGGAAGTTTTAGAAACAGTTTTACACCATCCAGTCACATCCATTGTAATAAAAAAATATCCCGTAAGCAACGATACAGTGCGGCGACGAAATGATGAATTGGCTGAAGACGTTGAAATTTCTTTACGCAAACTTTTGATATCCAACGAATTTTCCCTTCAAGTTGATAAATCAACCTTGCCAGATAATGTAGGCTTTACTGTAAGCATAGGTCCGGTTAGTAAAGGTAGGAAAAATTATTCAAGAGATGCTTTTTGCAAGAAGCTTGATTGTAGATATCAAAGGTAAATCTATTTCTAATACTTTCAAAGATTATTTTAAAGAGAAAAACATTCCTCTTGAGAATATTATGTCTATTACCACTGATAGGCTCCTGCAATGGTGAGTCGACTTTGCTCTTTTGGAAGGGAAGTTACCAGATATCTTAGCTGTTCACTGCGTGATTCACAGAAAGCATTTAGTAGGGGAAAATCTCAGCAACCGTTTGCATCAATCATTGCAATATGCCATATCTGCTGTGAACAAAATTCATTGAAATGCTCTCTACGATTGATTATTCAGACAGCTGTGAAAGAAAACCGATAAAGAATTCAATCACTTGCCGATACTTCGCTGGCTTTCCAAAAGCTTCTGTCTCAATAGGTATTGGAATCTTTTCGACTCTATGCTTGAGTTCCTCGAAAACAGAGATGTAGCTCTGAGAGACAGATTGCTGGAATTTAAGAAAGACTTTGACAGATTTATCTGTAAAATTTAAGGGTGATAATTTACATCTTCAAGGCAACGAGCTCAATTTGATCCCTACAAAATCAGTTATTTCTGCCTTTCTAAAAAAACTCATTTCGTGGAAGCAGAATTTTGGTTGGAATGAGTTCAGCCAAGCAGGCGAAATTCACTCTGATGACGCACAAGAATATTGTCAACACCTTGACTCTTTGCACATGAACTTTTCTGACCGTTTTAAAGATGTTTTGTTCCCTAGAAGTGCCTCAATGGGTTTATGGGTTCTGAACCCTTTTGTGAATATTGAAACAGCAGAGGTTCAGATTTACGAGGAATTGGTTGAACTTTTAACTAAGTAAACTTTGAAATGATGATCGTCTCACAGAATTTTTGCTTAAAGGTAACATCAGTCGTCTCTATCCTGGACTGTAGACTATCATTAAACATTTTTTAATTGCCTCCCCTTCCCCCTAGCTTGTCGAACGTGGAATCAATGTTGTTACAGATCTTATCACAAAAAGGCGAAATCTACTCAAAATTGTGCAACGAGGGGATTAGTGTCTTCATCTCACTAATAAAAGTATTGAGGCGATCGTTAAGAAATTGATTCTGAACCATTAAGTACAATCATTCCACTAGCATAGTTACTTGAATGTTTCGCTGATACTACTTTTTAGTGTTAAAAATCATTTTGGTTGTTTTTTTTTTAATTATCTAATTGAGAATAAATTATTTTTTTAAGCATAGGTTTCTTTGTTGTATTTTTTTCATTAAACGTATTTATTTTTATTATAACAAATAGACTGCAATTACCTGCCGCGAGAAAATTATCGAGTTAATGAGCACATTATATTTTTTAAAGAGACCAAACAAATTTAAAGCGTAAAGAAATTAAGATTTTGCTTATAATTCATCACACCTCCCTACGTTCCCATGCTCTAAACAACTGCATTTTCACGAAGGGGGGCGTTAAAATGTTTTTTGCTCCTTAAGGGGGCGGCAACGTTAAAAAGGTTGAGAATCTATGCTCTAAATGCAATGTATGTTGAAGGGCATACACTTACTAATAAAGTTTACTACTTCTGATATTTCAAGAATTTGGAGAAGAGGCCTTATATCCTAGGCCCCGAAATTAAAAGTTTTATTACTTCTGATAGAAATAATTCTTAATCTGATGGTAATATAATAATTATTATGATGGTCTATTAATAATTATCTGAATTTACTTCATCAGTTGTGCTTTATACTTTTTTTTGGAAAAAATACCGTATACTTTTTTGTCATTAATGTTTATATTCTTGATTCATGTTTAAAATAAAAGAGATTGTTGAAAATTGAAATTCTAATTAAAAATTTATTACAAAAGTTGATTTTTTTTTTAATGAAAATTTGCTTATATTTAAAACTATTTTGTTGTCACATGCCAAATCATGTTTATAATAACAATGTTTATATTTTTAGAGATGAATATATTTTTATATTATAGTTTTTTGATGGTTATGTTTTAAATGTTATTTATTTATTTTTACAGAAATGTGTTATAGATCATTCAAGCTCTGAAGAAAAAGATATTAAACGACTTCAGAGATTAAAAAGATTAGACACTAAAGATAACAATTTAAATATTGTTAGTACTGTAGGCTCTGAAGATAATGAATCAAAAATCAAACTTCAATCATTTTATCAGAGTGATATTCTTTACGGGCCATCGCTGCAAACATTATTAGGCCTTCCAAATAATGATGGTCACGAGACTATTAATTCAGAAGTAAATATTGCTAGTAAGGATAAGATTAATACTGAAGCAAGTAAAAATACTACAGTTGCAGATATTATTGGTAATAAGATCAATATCGAAGCAAATAATACTATTGATGGTGTAGAAGCCCAAACTAATGAAAATATAAAAGGATCTTTGAATTTGGATAAAGATGAAGCTAAAGCAAACACAGTATTATCTGATAATAAAAATGATGCAAAATCAACTATTTCTAAAGGAGGTGTTGAATCTGGGGATATTAAACACTCTGTTAATGTTCATGGTTCAAATTCTGAAGCAATTGAGTCTAAGAGAAAAAAGAAGTCCGACCGATATTCACGATCAAGATCCAGAAGCAGATCTTATGGTTCAGAGAAACATTCGAAATCATATAAGAGTAGACGTCATTCTCGCTCCAGATCAAATTCAAGGTCTAAATCCTTCAAAGATAAAAAAATCTCACGGTCCAGGAATAGATCTCGTTCAAGGTCTTATTCACGTCATAAAAGGTATAAATCAAGATCTAGATCTAAAGAATTTCAAAAAAGATACAGGAAATATCCCAGGAAGGATAGAAGTCGATCAACATCTAGAAGGCGTAGAAGATCACGTTCCAGGTCCAGTTCAAGAAGACGTGATGCTTCATGGTCCCAAAGAAGGCGTAGATCTCGTTCCCATTCATATGAACGTTCATGTCGTTCTCCAGACAAAGATTCAAAACACAAATCTAAATCATATAATAAAAGAAGTTCCAGTCGTGAACATGATTCTAGTAGAAAGAAGCGCTCTCGATCAAAATCACCTGACAAACATAGGTAAATGAACTCTTAATACAGTATTATTTCTTTTCTACTGAGATATTTAAGTATGTTACTTTGGATTACATTATCTGTAGTAAATAATGAATAATGGTTTTGATTATGCAACTGCAAAAGTAAATGTTATGGTTCAATAATAATATTAATAAAAAAAATTTAAAAAAAAACATTTCAATACTAGCAATATTAACTTAACCATACACATCAGTATTTTAATCAAGTGTATCAGATGAAATGAGAAACGATTTACTGAAATCAGATCTCAATTTTCTAAAATATCTGAGAAAAAAATTCCCATTGATTTTGCTCATATGAGTCTTGTGAAAGTTCATATCTATGAAAGTTCAAAATTTCAAGGAGCTAAAATCAAATTTTTAGGAAACAAAATAATTCACTATGGTAAATTTCTTCTTGGATTCATTTAAAATAATTTAAATATTTTTAGAATTACTTATTTACAGTTATAGGGATTTTCACATTAAAAATACTAAAAGATTGGGTGCTAACTGCAATACTATAGGTGAGCAGTTGCCTTGGATTTTTCGGCATTTGGTCGTGTTTGATCGAACATAAACCCTCTTAACATTTCAAGGGATGTGTTTTGATCGCCTCTCTTTGCTTTTTAAACACATCTATCTTATCAAACCAATATTATGTTATTTTTGGTAAAATAAGGACTATAAAAATAAAACAATACTATTAGGTCCGATAAGAAAATATAGAAAAAAAAATCCTATTCAGATATTTAATGCTTATTTAACTGAATAAAGATTTAAATAAAAGTTTTAAGCTTGTTATAGCTGTTAAAAATAGTATTCTAATCCTCTGTAAATTTTCATGATTTTTTTTGAAATTATTTTTGAATTCAAATCTTATTCAATGCTAATGATTATCCTTTTCTTTATCCAATAAATTACAATCTAATAACTGTACAAAACTGCCGTTCTGTTTTTAGCAGTACTATAGTTTCTTTTATATCAACACAGTACTAGTTTTCTAATTAGTTTAATGTTGTGTATATTTAATGTTGCATATATTTATTGTTGCATGTTTTGTTATATTTTAGATGCATGTAAAGTAACATTTGTAGAATTGAAACTATTCTTAATAAAGAAAATTAATAATCTTTTTTTTTCTGGGGACATGTTTAGTCGAAGTACAAGCAGCTTGAAAATAGATCAAGCAAAAATTCTGGAAATTGCTCAAAAAAATGTTCTTAGCATGATAGAAAAAGGTACTTTGCCCGAAGGACTATCTTTAGATAATTTCAAGAAAGAGCAGATACTTTCATTAAAAGCAGGTGGAAAATCAGTACAAGAATTAACAGGTATTATTTTGTTACATGTTTAAATTGATAAGTATATTGATAAAATTAATCATTTTATCAAAGTTATTATGTAAGAAGATGTGGGAAGAAGAATGGTTTATGTCCATGAAAGCTGATTCTGGAAGAAATTTTTTTTTTTTTTTTGCATGCGGACAGGAATAGTTTTCCTCCAGTACGACTCGTCGTTAATCTGTTACTCTTGGGGAGAACCCATTTTCCATGTTATTGATCAAAACTTATTTCTCTTCAAATTTCATTTTTCACAATCTCATTTTTGTGAAAAATGGAACAATTCTCTAATTTGATCTTCAAATATTTTTTTGTGTTTTTAAATGAACTTATGTGTTATATATCCTCTCTAAAGTTAATGTCAGTTGAATATCAATTGAATTTGTAAATTTTATTCTTAGACTTTTGTACAAAATTGTCGAAAAAAGAAAATGACCCTGTAGCAGAAGATAAGGATGATGCTGGTAACAATGCAGAATCTGGTTTTATTCACCACCCTTTCAAAATAAAAGAAGCATCTGCGATTAAACTTAATATAAAGGTAGATTATTTACATTTCTTAAATATCTTTTATCCAAACAAGATTTTCAGATTTTCCGAAAATTGATTCTGTTTACAATGAATACTATCTTTAAACAAATTAAATTTTTTAGAAATGAGATGTAATTCTCATTTTAAGACTACTATTTTTAATTTTTGTTGATGATTTACATTGTTTAAAAATTAATGCTAAGCTGATAAACTTATAACTTTCAGACACATTATATTACTTTTATACTCACAAATATTAAATATAAAAAACATGAACTTTATTATGATCTTTTTGTTTAATGATTGTTCTCTAAGTCAAATTGGCAAAACTATGTTTGTATATTTTCTACTTTACTTTTGTATTTTCCTACTTTAGTTTTCTACTTTAAAAATGCTGTTTAATATTTATCTAGAATTCTGTGCAAATTCCTGTGAGAACACACGCAGAAAAAGTTGCCGAAACTGCTCGACTAAGTTCTCAGTTTCCAGTATCTAGTGGCAATAAGCACAAGCAAAAGGAATTAGAATGGATTCCAGTAGAGCCAGATTCTAAAACTCAGAAAGATTCTGATGCATCAAAAGCCTTGGTCCCACTTTCCCTACCAACTAAAGCTGTTCCTATTGTATCCAAGCCAAAGATACTAGAGGCGACAAATACTGCTAGTACTTTGTCACCAAATCCTGTAACAGCAGCCATTATACCACCTGTGCCATTACCGCCTCCACCTCCTCCTCCACCACCACCTCCTGAAATTACAGTACCAGTATTGCCTCCACCACCATTACCACCACCACTACCACCTTCTTTACCCCCTAGTAGTTTATTATCAACAGTTACTCCTGTTGCTGTACCAGAACAACCTCATGTTACATTGGTTGATTACCCAATGATTCCTACGAATAGTTATTCATTTGTAGCTCCTTCTCAGTATCCTGTTACTTCTGAAATGAATACTTTTTATACACAAGTCCAGTATCCAAATATAGTGTCTGCGAATGAACAGCCAACAGTTTATCCTGTAACTACTAGTCATTCAACAGAAACAACCAGTTTTCAACCTAAAAAGGTAAAACAAAAAAAAATTGTTCAACATTTTTTTTCTTAATTTTTCTTTATGACAATGTTTTGTGCTATTTTTAATATAATTTTATAATTCTCAAAAAAAATAAATATCTTTAATTGATCGATACCTTTAATTACAAGTTTGTACTTAACTTTGTACATATGTAAGCTTTACGATTGAGCTAGGATTTATTATTGAAGCTAATTATGCACCTATAAAATGTGCTATTATATGTTGAGAAAATGTTCTTGTTAGAAAAATGTGGATGAGCGATTTCTCTTATTGCTTGTTTTTGAGATAGAATATTTTAGGAGGAGGGTGAAGGGGTTTTAATTGGGCAGAAAACAGCATGAAGAAATAACTTTCCATTTCAGTGTTTTTCCGTCATTTTTTTACGTTACAATTTTAAATTTTTCTCTTATTTCTCTGACTTAACAGATTTAAATTTTAAAATGTCTTCTGCCTGATAAATTTTTAAAATTGTTTTTAAGGAGAAATTTTTTTTTATAGTCATTTAACTATTTTTTTTTGGACTAAAAATCAATTTCTAAATTTGTTGGCAAAATAAAATGCTTTGTTTTTTAAATGGATTTCTAAAGTGTTATTTTAGTTTTTAAAGTTTTAATATGCAACTTCTCTGTCATTTTAATTTTTTTATTCGCTGGTTTTTAAAAAAAAAATTATTTGAACAAAGTGTCTGATGAAGTCCTCCCACACTGACCAGTTGTTGGTTGTGGAGGACAGGGAGATTAAAAAGCCCCTTTATTTTTGGACCAAATGCGTGATGGTAGCAATAGTGTCAACATTGCCCATTACCACCCTTATAAGCTGATATCCAATAATTTCAAGTTGGATGGGAGTCTAGCATCCACTGGTGTAGATCCCTCGTCTTTCACAATGACAGCTCAGTGTTTCATCTTCTGTGCCATGGTAATTTATATGTGCTCCAGTTAATGTTCCGTTTTTTTTTCCTTACTTATATTGAAATAAAATCTATTTCATAGTTTACTACGGCAAAAGAGCACTTAACTCTCCAAAATCTGATTTTATTTTCTATCCATAGTTCTCTCCTTTTTAAGTAGTTAGCCAGGGTTCCCACGGTCCTTGAGAGTCCTTGAAAGTCCTTGAATTTTTTTTGTGCTAAATTTAGGTCCTTGAAAGTACTTGAAAAACGTCTTAGGTCCTTGAAAAACTTGATAGGTCCTTGAATTTGTCCAATACTGCCGGCGGCCCTTTTTATAAAACACCCGCGGATCTTTCTCGTTCTTTCTGTTTTGTTCCCGAGCTCTCTCACGTGGTTTTTAACGCCACCGTTTCTAACCGGGCCTAGCGTCTTGGTGTCTGCCAAGCGCGCGGAGCACAGCAGACAATCAATGCGTTCGGGGCGAGACTCCACTTCATCTTCTGTCGCATATGCTTAGATCTTCTTTTTTCTTATCGAAACTGGAATACTCTCGAATTTCGTAACAATATGTACCTTGTAGTTTTCAATAAATTTGCCGTTTTACCATCCGCACTTGTCCTTACGTTTGCGTCATTTCAAAACTTTATTGTAAAGCGTATTCGCAAAGGCACGGCTTCGTATTTGTGTTATGTAGTTTAGACTAGTTATGCCTGGGAAGTGCTATTTTAATCCCCAATGGATGGATAATCAAGCTTATAAAGAATGGATTTTATCGATGCCCGAAAAGAAGTTCAGAGCCAAGTGCCGATTATGCATGAAGGAGATCGATATCGCGAAAATGGAAGAATCTGCTCTGAAATCACACATGAAAGAAAGGTAAAACAAAAAAGCAGTCTCATGCCCTGAGTTCTCTTTTTCCAAAGACATCAACATCTAATTCATCTGGTGTAAATACTCCTTCAACATCGTGTGCCCCATGTGAAACAGAAACTTTAGTGGCCGAGGTAACATTGTCTTCTTATCTGGTCAAAAGGAATGTGCTTGATGCTGAAATTCTCTGGAGTCTGAAGTGCATCACTAGTAATTATTCATGTAACTCCTGTGAAGGGATTAGTAAATTGTTCTCCAAAATGTTTGCTGATAGCTGTATAGCGAGACAATTTTTTTGTAGTGCCACAAAGTGAGCCTATTTGGGCTCCTTTGGATTGGCACTATACTTCAAAGGGATTCTTATAAATGAGCTGAAGAATGTTGATTGCTACACTGTACTCTTTGATGAGACGTTAAATCAGTCTCTACAATCTAAGCAGATGGACATTATGGTAAGGAATTGATAATAAAGTTTGCACTAAGTATCTTACCTCCCAATTTATGGGTCATGGAACTGCAGAAAATATTTTGTCCTCTTTTTACAAATGCATGGATGATGGTTAAAAGCTCTCTAAAATACTTCAATTATCCATGGATGGACCCTATGTCAATTGGAAATTCTATTAGAAGCTTCAGTGTGAATTAAAAGAGAAATATTCCCACCAGGTCATATTCATTGGCAGTTGTGGATTACACATAACGAATAATGCTTTTAAACATGGTGAAAATGGGATATGTTCCTTCTAATTTTTATTTTCAGAAAGAATTGTTGCTGCATAACATTTAGAGAAGGTTGTGTAAATTATGGATGAATAATTTCAGAAACGATGTTTAATAGAGGAGAGGAGGGGGTTATGGAATAGTCATGGAATATGGAATACCTAAGATTTAGCTCTGTCTTTCATGCAGCCTTCACATGGAAATACACAGGATTAAAGGATTTCACCATTAACACCTCATTACCATTAGTTATAGATTGTGCTGAAAATGATTTTGTGAATTAATATGTAAAACCAGTAGGGTTGTTTTTAAAAAAATATAAATTTTAGTCCATAATACATATACTCTCTTCTCTCTATATAGGCAAAGCATTTAGGTATTATATTTGAAATTAATTATTGCCACAACAAGCATTGTTGCTTCTAGTAAAATAGAAGAGAATAATTTTTAAAATTGGTCTTAGATTAAGGTCCTTGAAAATTTTGTTGAGGTCCTTGAAAAGTCCTGGAAAGTCCTTGAATTTCAATCTCATCATAGAGTGGGAACCCTGTTAGCCTACTTTGGACAAACATTGGTTTCCTTACCATTAGGAACTTCTTCTTTCAAGGTCTTACAGCCTGTTATTGACCAAGGCCGTCCCAAGTAGTCTTTGACACTTGGTCCAGTTCCAAGGCTCTTCCAGTTTCCCTTATTTGCTATTAGGGAGTCCTTCTCCACAGAATCAGGCCACCTAATAGGTGGTCTTCCTAATTTTCTGTTTCTTAAATGGGATTAGAATAGATATCCGAGGCATTGTAGTCTATTGCATTTTATAAGTATGATGTACTTCAGATTTAGTTAATAAACACCATTTTATTTCTTTATCTTGAATACGTAATTTAACTGTAATATATATATTATGTATTCAAAGTGTATCATGTTTTCGCCTCTGTATGTATCAATATTGCCGAGCGGCCCTTGTGTCATTAAATATTCATCAATCCATTCACTATCTGTAATTTTATTGGTGAAATTAGAACAAAATGTGCATTTTAGGTTCAAAATCCAATTTGGAGCTAGATCCTAAATATTTACTAAAATAATGGAGAAAATTTATTCAGTTTATCTGGTATTAACAGATTAAAGTAATTGAACTGAATTATCGATATTAGTGTTAAATTCCTACTGTTTTCTGAAGAACCTTATTTTTGTCTCTTTATTGCCAAAAATTAATACCTCATTCTAAAGTTATTTGTTTTTGATTATTGTGTGTCTTAAAATTTTAAACTGTCATAAATTTTAATTAAATCTCTTTGTGCTTCCAGCCAATTGATGTTTCTGCTATTGTGGCCCAAAGATTCAAAGCCCTAACAAAGTTACAAACCAATCCTAATGATACAGAGGCTCTCCAAACTTTAGAACAGGCACAAGCAAGTGTATGTATTCAAATTATTATTTTATTTCATCACTATTTGTTAATTTTCCTAACCCTTTGCAGGGGTCTGTTTAGAAGAAATTTGGGTCCGTTAACTGACCCTTCACAAAATATTTGAACTTAAAAACGGACCCCTCACAAAATGATTTTTCTTTTAATCAGACCCTTCACAAATTTGTTTATCTTCATTATAGTTTTATTAATCGAATAAATCCTTCCCAGGGCAGAAAACAAGAAGGATGGATGTAAAGAATTAAGTTTTGTCTTCGGCAGACGATTCTTCCATTATTCGTCTGAAATGAATATTCTGCGTTCAGCAGTATAGGCTAAATACCAAATATTTGTATGTTGCATCTCTAATTTAGAAGCAGCAATTGCTGTTTTATTTTTGAAAATTTAAATTTTTTAATTATAATTTTACAGTGCCGAGCATAATCTTGTAACTATTTACAATTTAAAAACTCCTTGAAAAAGCTATTTGCACAAATTCATAAAAGCGGATCCTGGTTGAAAGAATGTGAGTAATTTTTTCACAATTGCACGAAAACCGCACCTTTCACAAAATGTGTGGACAGTAGGGCTGGACGATATAGAAATTTCTTAAATCGATATAATCAACCCTTTTATATCACGATATTAGGTTATATCGATTTAACAATCTAAACGACAAAACTAAGAAATAAATCCACAGTACCCCTTCCTCTATTCAAATGTATTGTTTTGTTTTTTTTAACTCACTTACTGTCAACTCCTAGTCCACAGAAATTTTGACAAAGTTGTTCTGATTATGAATAATTTTTTGCAGATATTCAAAAGCTTGTTTAAATACTACAATTTACTAATTTTACTCTGTAACTTTTCACTAAAGGTATTGGAGAATATTGTTTACCTTTTTCTTTTGCATTTATTTTATTAGTAAAAAAAATTAAAAACTTTCACTTTCTCTGTACATATATAAATAACTATACATTAATATTTTTATTGAAAATATGCTTAAATGAACTAAGACTAGTTTAAAATTCATCATCATGCCTGCGCCCTAGTTTTTAGATTGCACCTGGAAATTTCCCATTCCTATCATAATTTTTTTACTTTAATAAAAAATATACTTTGTAAA